CGGACCCGGTCCAGTCCAACCGGTCACAAAGTGACCGTTGCCCGGACGGCCCTGCTCGGTCCGGTCTGACCAAATAGCATTTGGTCTTTTGACCAAAATACCCCAAAAAATAGTCAAAACAGCTAAATTTTGAGGGTATTTTGGCCATTTGGCTAGGGGTTGCCTCTATAAATGGAGAGGGTTTTCATTTATTTTTCTCATCCAAAACTCATCTATTTCTCTCTAATACTCTCAAATACTCTCTTATCCTCTCTTTCATTCTCTAATTCTCCAATCAAATGACTTCCTCCTCCTATTATGAAGGGTAAGTTTCAACTCCCGATATTGAAATGAGTCCTACTCCTGCTACACCTACCGCTAATCCTCCTACCGATATTGATCCCGAATTCGGTGGCAATGATCCAATATCTAGAGCTCCTAAAAGGCCGAGATTCAATGTGTGGAATTTTTTTCGAGAACATAGAAGTAACCAAGAATCAACACGGTAAACTTCTCACCCAAAAGGCTAAATGTGCATTGTGTGGTCATATTTTCCAAGCTCGTCATAAAAGCGACACCAACCACATCAAATGCTATTTAGAAAAGCACAATAGAGCTCAAGCGGTAACGTCTCAAGGAAATATTCGTTACTCTCTACCCTCCCAATCATCAACCTCTGGTAGTCTCAGTTCTTGAAACTATGATGCAATTAAAGCCAGGAAATGCATCATTAGTTTTATTATTTTTAAAAATATTCCTTTTAAATTAGTAGAAGATGATGAATTTAAGGATAACATTATAGATGGTTTTTATCCCTCATTTAAAAATAAAATTCTCGCCAATCTTGTCAGCGTAATATTTTAAAATATTATCACGAGAAACAAGCAACAATATTTTTTTATTTTCAAAATTTAAATTGTAAATTTTCTCTAACTTCTGATATTTGGACATCAAGAGCACAAACTGGTTATTTATGTATCATAGCACACTGGATTGTTGAAAGTTAGCAAAAGTTTAAAAGAGTTATTTCTTTTATTACATTTGAAGATTCACACACTAGTATTAATATTACAAATTTAATAATACAAGAACTTCAAAATAAGAAATTTCTAAAAAAATATTTTCTCTTTCATTAGATAATGCAAGTAATCATGTAGCTGTGGATCATATCAAATCATCTTTGCTATTGCCATGTCATGATGATATTTTCATATTGAATGCATGTGTCATATTTTAAATTTAATTATTCAAAGTGTATTTAATAAAATTAAACCCATGATTGAAATTAAATGCATGTTATAAGTTTTTTATGATGGTACTATGTTGTTATATAGTTGTCATTATCCAACTATTATTCAAGCTGTTTTACAAGTTTTAAATATTCAAAAAAAATTACTACTTATCGTATGGATAATTATTTTAGAAATATGATTTTTTAAATAGAAAATAAATTTAATAAGTATCTTAGGCTTATTCCTTTTATTTTTGGTTTAGGGGTTCTTATCGATCCATGTTTGAAGGATATTGGTCTTCAAAATTTATTAAATTCTTTGTATGAAAACATTATAATAGACATTGATATTGGTCAGACTGTTACTGCTCTTACTCATCATAACACTATTAAATATTATTTCTAAAAATTATATGAGGAGTATGCAGGTAGATATGGTGTAAGTATACAACAACCTACAGCTTCTACTTCTATGAGTTCAAGCCGGGGCAAAGGTAAGAGTTTTGATGGGAAATTAATGATAGCGAGGCTAACTGGTAGTCGTGGATCTGGATCTGGATCATCATCAAGGGAAGTTTCTCAAATTGAACAATATTTATCCGCACCTTTAGTTGATGCTGAAAATAATAATTTTGATATTTTGCAATGGTGGAGAGTACATGAAATAGTTTCATATCCTATACTTTCCATCATCGCTCATGACTTACTAACAATGCATGTTTCTACTATAGCTTTGGAATCCTCCTTCAGCACACCAGGATATTTGATCGATGACCATAGAACATCAGGACATTTGATCGATAGACTTGATGAGTTGTCAATAGGAGATAGAGATAAAGAGTAGTATTTAGTCAAATTACTGATTAATTTGTTATTTTTATTTCTTAGCTGTAAATTTTTGATAATTTATTTTGAAAAGAGTTACAAATGATAGTGACATAGATGAATAAGTGCAAACCTAGTTTGGATGTATTCATAGATTGTGATGCGATAAATTCTTAAAAAAGTTTGTAATTGTTAGTGATTTAATAATAAAGAATTTATTTTTTTTATATTTTAATTTCTATGATATTTGTATTTATAAATTGTATAACTAAAAGTAATTAATAATATGATTGATTTTTTATCAAAAATTTGCATATTTTATTTTTAATTACTCTTGAAATTTTATTTTTAAGGAAAAAACTAACTAAAAAAAAATAAACTGGGCCGGCCCGATGCTGGGTCTGCTCGAGTCAGGGTTCGAACCCGGACCAGACCCAGCTTAGTCCAACCGGGCTAGGGTTCGGGTACCCCTTTTTTGCCCTGCCTGATTGGACACCCCTAGGGAGGGTGTGGTTGTGGGTAAAGAGAGAGAGAGAGAGAGTTTCTTTTTCTTCATAACAAATAAAATGTCGGTTGGATTTTGTAGTGACTGTAGAAATTATTTTTTAATTCTCATTCAACATTAGCTTTGCTTTATTTAATACCATTTGTATTAAAATTTGATTAAATGTTTTATAGGGGTGTAGACTGGAATTAATCCACAACACAAATGGGCTGCTAAAAAATGACTTGTTGAAATTTTGAATAGGGCCACATTTGAACTTATTTTTCGACACTGCATTATACCATCCAAACAACTATTTTTAGGATTCACAAAGAATCCAACGAAACAATGTAGACACTCAAATGCCAACTGGACAATCACTTTCCGTATGAATACCCGTCTTTTGACTCTTTTCCCATGGCATCCAAACGGGCCCAGAGTAAAAGCCCGGAAAGGAAAACGCTAACCGCGAGTAACCAGACCCGATTCTATTTCGGCATTTCGTAGGATTTCGATGCTGAATTCGTCGTTTTGACCCACCCTCTCTCGGTCCCTTCACTCATGCTCACCTGCTGCGGTAACCCGACTCCCCTCAAACTCCCAACACCCACCGTCCGATCAAAATCCAACGGTCATCGAACCCCTCTCTCCATCTTCCTCCGGTCGTTGCGCCCCCGTCCCTCTGTTTCTGCTCCTCTCCGTTATTCTCACCCCCATCTCCGATCTCCTAAAATGTCTCTCACCACCGGTAACCTAACCGAGCTAAACGACGAATCCGACCTCAACGCCCTCTCGTCCCCCGACGGTTACCTCTCCATCTGCGGCTTCGGCTCTCTTCTCTCCGGTATCCTCACCGCCCTTCAAAACCCTAAAATTTCTCTTCTTATATTTTCTTCATCGTTTATTTCAAAAAATTGCAGAGAGGAGCGCGAGGAGCACGTTTCCTGACCTCAGGAATTTTAGGGTTGGGGTTCTTCGCGGCTTCCGGCGAGTCTTTGCTCACGTCGCGCCCATCTTCTTCGAGCGTGGGATTGCTAATCAAGAAACTGGGGTTAGGGTTTCAATGTTTTATCTGGTAGTTGAGCTCAGTTGTAGTTGGGATTTCTTTGCTTAATTTGGTAATGTGGAGAGGTTTCAGGAGGTTTCGAGCTTGAGTGTGGAACCATGCGATGGGGAAACGCTGATAGTAACCGTGTTTGAGATCGGAAAATCAGAGGTAAAAATGAAAAAGATTAAATCTCTTGGGGTGAATGGTTGTAAAAATTTCATCTTTGAGATTGATCTTGCAGGTGCCTGCTTTTATAGAAAGGGAGATTGAATTCAGATTTTTAGCTGTAAGTGAGTGTGAAGCTTTGATCTTGGATTGCAATGACGTTAAATTCACTCATCTCTATATCTCATTTTTGTTGTTAGGTGATTCCTGAAAGTTTGGATGGAACACCTTATAGTGCTCCAGCTGTGAGTCATCTTGGAAGACACACAACTTTTGGCTATTGATGCTTCTAATAAATCTGATGAAGGTTGAATGAAGTCAAAATTTGTCGAGTATTCCTCATTTATTTCTTTGTTGTAGGTGGTTTGTGCTCGTTATAGCGATGAGGAGTATTTACGTATCAGATGCAAAGGTGCTCGCTTGTCATCTTTTTGTGTATATTATACATGATGTGCATGTACCTTGTTCATTGTTTTTCTGCTCCCTGGCTTTTAAGAATTCAGAAATGTATATAACATAACATCATCCAAGCCTTCATCCTAAATTGGGCTCAGCTGCATGAATCCTATTATTCCATTTAATTCTATTCTCGATCATCTCCTCTTTTAAGTTAACTATTATCTTATCCTTCTTATTGCTCCAAACCATCTTTTTAGGTCTATCTATCTTTTAGACCTCATTGCATCAATAGATATTATCTTATCATTTCTCCTATTCGGTGCGTCAAGTGTTTCCGTTTTGCATGACTAAATCATCTCAATCGATTCTCTCTCACTTTATTCTTAATGAGAGCTAACTTGGCTCCTATAAGTGCACTCATATTAGAAATGTATATAAGATTGAAGTAATTTATTAACTCATTGTTATTAGGAGTTCTAACTGTTGACGCATAAGTTTGACTTATTCAGTATATATGTCTATATAAAATATGCATTTGTCTGAGAAAAATTGAGATAGACTCCGATTGACGATATGTGAAAAATCAGAATGACAAATGACTGAATGATGAATCCATGGGCACCAGAAGCATCAATAGAACAGAGATGAATGGATATTGTGGGTTAGGAGTCAGAACAGGGGTATACAAAAATGACTGTGGCTTCTTGCTTTATAGGAGCACGCTCTTTGATATGAATGGAGAAAAAAGTTCCATGTGGATAGACTGAAGGATTAGGATAGTGCATTTTGTTGTCATTGTATTGATTAGTAACATGATAACAGGTGGTTAAGTGAAGGCTTGTATGGTAAACTATGATATATTGGAGAGACACATCCCTCATCGAAACATTTGTGTTGGACATGATACGTATCCATCTGGTGGTTTAGTGGAAGAAATTAGGGGGTTTTAGTAGGAAAACGAAATTAGAGGGGGTTCATGGGAAATAGCCAGAAGTTTTCGGGGGTTTATAAATAGTTATGCATATTTTTTCACCTGTCAATAGACACCGAAGTTTTGTTTAGTGTTTGGCTATTTGGAGGAAAACATCACCTAGAACTTTTTAAGTAGAACTGGGATAATTAGTAAAGTGGGATAATATTTTAACACTAGGATAATTTAGTGGAACAATGATGAGTAATTCTTAAAGAGGGATAATTTGGTAGGATAATTTGGTGGGATAATGATGGATAATATTATGAAGTTGCATAATTTGGTAGGATAATTTGGTGGGGGTAATGGTGGGTATAAATTACTATTGTTAATAATTGTATATTAAAAATAATATAATATTGATAAGCAAATTCTAGTAATAACTATAAAATATAATGCAATAAAGCATCACTATTCATCTCAAATAATAAAATAATTTACAAATAAATAAAAATCTAAATCTCTAGAGTGACTCGACTTCCATCATCCTACATGGCTTCTATCATCCCACATGGTATCTGCCATAGAATTTCTCCAAGCTCCTACAGCTACTCGTTGAGTCTGTAACTCGTCTTCTTTATCGAAGTCATCGTCTGCATCAACAACATTTCGTGGAGCTTCTAGCGGAGGATCATAAATGTCAAAGTTCAAATCTCATATCATAAAGAAAGAAAAATAAGCATTTTCAGCCATTAACCCTTTGGACCAATCTCATCATGATCGCTAAAACCAAATCAGCAAATAAATGAAATGTACACAGGAATCATCCATGGCCGCTAAACAAATGATCGACAGATGAACTATAAATATCCCAATCAATTTACTGAGCCGATTTAATAATAATAGATATCACCATTAACCATTCAACATCTAATCATCAATGTGATCACAAAGTTGCTTTCTAACTTATAAAAAATATATATATAGCCCGCATATCTTTAGCACTAACCCACCAACACTATATTCTTAACCTAAACCACTGTTATGGAGAGAAAACTTAGATCAAACAAATAATAATAAAGTAATTTAACGTCAAAAAGCTATCAATAAAGTAATACATCTTGAAGATAATAATAAAAGATCTAATCATCACAAAAACAAAGTAAAGACAAAACGGATGATTGACTTCATGGCAGAGAAATTTTCTAGGTGGAGAAACTAACCAAGAGGGAGGGAGGTGGCGTTTCACTTTTTTTCCCCAATTGTATTCTTTCCAATGTGTGGGATAATTTGAGAGATGAGAACTTATGGTTATATATATAGGTAGTATAATTTGTGGGATAATTATGACCAATTATCCCAATTCTAATTCTAGTATAATTCTACTTAACTAACGCACCAAAAAAATAATACAGTTCTAGTTCTACAAAAGTTCTACTTGACTAACACTATAAAAAAATATCTCATTTCCTAGTTCTATGTGACTAACACCTTAAAAATTTATCCCATAAATTATCCCAGTTTCAGTTTTAAGTTCTAGATGACTAACCCCCCCCCTAAGGTGAATTTTGAACTTTTGTTTCATATAAATCTATTCATGTGGGATATTTTATAAATGAAATCAATGGGAGTTATTTATCTCCTTCATAACTGTTTTTACTAGTTCCATAAAAATGGTAATGTCTATGGAGAGCAGAAGGTTCCGTATATATATTTGAGGAAGTTTTTGCAATCATTTATTGACCTGATATAAACCTCATTGCAATTGTCAAATTCATAGCTTACACAACCTTAGAGAAGGATGTTGACACAAGCTTTATAAGGCTAGTTGGCATGTAGGAAATCTTAACATATTAATGCACTCTTTGCTTGTGCCTCCAAGGAGAAATCCTCGAAAATTTCTTTGACTAAATAGAATTTACAAGAAGTGGGAGATAATAAAACTACTGGACTCGTATATCAGTGAACAAGACACAAATTCTATTTCTTATATATTATGTTTCACTTGTGATTATGAAATATATTTCTACGCTAGAAGGATTTTAGTGATTTGTGTTTACTTATACTTTATCCCTTTCGACTGTTAACAAACTTTTGGATTTTAAAATTTCTTCTTTCAGGTAGCAAGGAGATTTTCTTTCAGAATTATGGACGATATAATGTACATAAGATATGGCGGGATGATATCTTACCTTGTCGTGTTTATCTTAGACATTGGTAAATACTGCAAAACTCATTTCGTACTCCATATTTGTTTCTGAACGAGACCTAGAATTGAAGGTTGTGACTGGAAATTGGGTTACTACTAGTAGGTTGCTTTACATAGTCTCTTCACTCATGATGCTGATATATACTAGTTGCTTTCAGTAGCAAGTTTTTTATATTTTTGGCACATTTGCATGATATGATGTTTTCTACTTCGTTTTCGACATGTATGAATTATTTATAGAATGTTTAAACCATGCAATTCATACTTCTATGCAGTGTGTTAGCAGCGAAAAACCTCAGTGAAGCTGCGTATGAAAATTTCTTGGATCATACTTTCCTTGCTGACCGAAAAACAACTATCCGTGATTATCTGGCTTCGACTGGTTCAGGCATCATGGAAGAAGAGCCTCCTGAAGCACTTAAGAGCCGCTATGGCGGATGATTATGAGGATTTTTCATGTGGAATCATACTGTAGATGAATAGTGTATCCATTCTACTTTATGGCTTTTGCTGCCCTGAGGCATGCGAACTTCATGCGTATTACACTTGAACATAAGTTGAAATAATTGTAAATGGACTATCAAGAGTTTCAAGATTGAAATTATTTTTATAATCAGATGTATTTTCATCCAACCGCTTACTATATATATATAGAAAAATGATTTAAGGACCCAAAATATGAGACCAATGGAGGGGACAGGTGAGGTGTCCCCTCCCTATTGCATAATGAGTTGGTCATGCCAACTCATGCCAACTCATTATGCAATAGGGAGGAGACACCTCACATGTCCTCTTCCTTGGTCCCATATTTTGGGTCCCCGTAGCAGCACTCATATATATATATATAGGTGAAAACTTGTGTCAACTTAAGTAAATAGGAAATAGTTATCCACCAAACTTTTTATCCATAGATATTGCCTAGGGATCCTTGCATGATATGAAAAGACTTTTATATTAATAAATGAGTGGCTAAAAAGTTTGGTGGACAACTATTCCCTATCCACTTAAGTTGATAGCAAACTTTTTATCCATAGATATTGCCTAGGGATCCTTGCATGATATGAAAAGACTTTTATATTAATAAATGAGTGGCTAAAAAGTTTGGTGGACAACTATTCCCTATCCACTTAAGTTGATAGGAGTTTTGCTCTCTCTCTCTCTCTCTCTCTCTATATATATATATATATATATATATATATATATATATTATATATATAGAGAGAGAGAGACGGAGAGAGAACGAGAGAAACTTATGGTCAACTTAAAGTGTGACGTCCGCACTAAGTTTCTTAGTCATTGATGATCACTCATTGAGCTACATTGTGGATGATCCGTTCCGTAACTTGATTTTACGTATTCTTAAAGCCTCCAACACACAAAATTTGCGGCGTGAACCTGTTGTGTGTTTGACTTTTCCGTCGAGCCATGTTTTAGATATATAGCATCAAGTTTAACGGCAGCGGCATCATCCACAATGTAGCTCAAATCAAGTGATCATCAATGACTAAAAACTTATGGAACGTCTACTTAAGTTGACATAATTTATTATATATATATATATATATTATATATATATATAATATATATATATATATATATATATCATATACACACACATTCCTATGGAAAGGGTATAAAACATTTTACTTTTCATATGCAATCTTGAATATTCGTTATGGAAACTTTTCGCGACTCAGAAGTTTCTATACTATATATATATTAGGGAGAGGATTCAAAATTACAACCTCACTATCCTAAAAACTAAAAATCAATCCTCTCCATGGATCTAGATTCAATCCAATGGCTGAGATTAAAGCTGCATAAGGCGTAATTAGGTAAAATAAACAGCCACTAAAGAGAGGTAATTAATGCTTCTTATTGAGTTCTCATTTTCCCATGCAACTCTCCTCTTCACGCTTCTCCTCTCTCTCTCTCCTCCATTTCCAAACCTTGAACCATGCCCCCTCTCTCTTGGGTAGGGTTATTTTCTTGCGTACGGTGTATATTTTCCTTGCCGTAATGTTATACTTCTAGTTTGATTTGATTCTTGGTAGAGTGTTATTGTTCTTTTTGCATTCTGATCATGCTTTTGTTTCTCGTCGTGTATTGGGATGATAGAAAGAGGGATCCATGGCCCAAGAGTTCTTCAACTGAGCACCCCCTCGGTTCGTCACGCTTTTTCTTTTAATTCAATTTGATTTTGGTTTCTTTTAGGGGTAATTTTGAAGTTGCGATCTTCGTTCTTAGGATTTGTTTTAGGGCTTGGGGTTTCTCTTATAAACTCGCAATCTTGGTTGTTTGGTTTTGTTGGATTAATCTTTCAAATTGCAATCTTTTTTTGCGGTTTCTATTTAAAATATTTTAGAAATTGCAATCCCTGTTTAGTTTTTTTGGTTAAATTCGGTTAAGGCTTCATAATTTTAGTTGTTGGGTTTGTTTTAGCATTGCTGTCCTAAATATTTGAATTCACTGCAGTGAATCGCAGATTCACTGCCACGGTGAATCGAGATTCACTGCAGTTGAATCGCCGATTTTTGGCTGTCCTAAATAATTGAATTCACTGCAAGTAAATCCAGATTCAGTTATGTGAGCGGGTGTTTGTTTTACCATAAAAATTATAACTTTTTGCTTTAAAAATCATCAAACACGTTCTATAAATGCATGAGTGAAATCTCGATTCACTTCAGTGAATCTCGATTCACTGCCAGTGAATCCAGCTTGTTTTGTTACTTCAATAAACGCATGATGAATCTAGATTCACTTTCAGTGAATCTCGATTTCACTGCCCCAGTGAATCCAGATTCAATTATGTGACGGGTGTTTGTTTTACCATAAAAATCATACTTTTTGGCTGCTAAAAGGTTAAAAAAATTTCAATGCTTATAAAAAATTTTATAGCTTGTTTTTACCATTAAGCTTTCTTATTCTGCTTGGTATGGTTAGAATGATTTTCACAAATCCAGTGAGCAGGCAAATCGATATGGAAGTTAATTCAGATTCAATTCGTTTTGGACGTGAATCTGGATGAAGATCACTTTTCAGTGAATCCCAGATCACTTGCTTTGTTGTGTTCTTCATGGTGAGAATTTACAGAGATCGGGAAGCTGAGGTTTCTTAAGAGAGAAGAGTATTAAAAATCGCTAGCCACACAAATATTAATGTTCTAAGAGAGCAGTATTAAAGGCGACGCTGTAATTAAATTTTGTATCATTGTTCCAATATAATCAGTCACTTAATGCCAATGAATTGTTCCAATTTTACCCTTTTAACATTAATGCGTGTGCTATTTAATTTGTCTATATTTACAATTCTGCCAGTGCGAATCTAGGCCATGGATGCAAATTAGAATGTAGGCCGTTAGGATTGCGTTTTTAGTTCTCTACGTTTTTATTTTAAGAACTCTCCATATATATACTATATATTATATATATTAATATATATATATATATTATATATATATATATATATATATATATATATATACTATAATATACTATATATATTATAATTTTATATATATATATATAATATATTATAAAATATTATATATATACATATCCTATGCGAAAAGGGTATAAACATTTTACTTTCATATTGGCAAATCTTGAACATTCGTTATGGAAACGTTTGGACTCAGAAGTTTCTGCAGAAAGATCAAAAGTGAAGGCTCGAAACATTCGTTATGGAAACTTTCAAAAGTTTCTGCATGGTACTGGTGTAAGAAAAGAACAATAAAAGAATCAATAGACACAATGAGTAGACGCTGGAAGTTTTAGGGATATAGGAACAACCTATGAAGCACGGACATGCCAAAATTGGCCCCGAGTCCGTGTCTGACGCGTATCGGACGCGAACACGTGTTCGACACGCGTTCGACGCGCGTTGGAGATACGCGTTCGACACGCGGTCAACCCCACCGACGTAGTCAACGCACCGACATGTCCCAGATTTGTTCCCAACTTGTTCGCGAATAAAAAAGAAAACCCAACCCAAACTCAAACCCGAAACCCAAACCCAAACCCTAATTTCACTACTTATTGTCCCGACGCCGCCGGACTCTCTTCCTTGTCCCCGTCTCTCTCGAGCTCGAGATCGGCTCTTCCTCGTCTTCAACGCCGTCAGTCTCTCGACGCTAGGTTAGTCTCTCTCTCCTGATCTCTTTCTCTCTCTGATTCTCTTTCTTTCTCTCTCTGTGAATCCGGCTCTCTCTCGATCTCTCCGTCTCTCTCTCAATCTCCCTGTTTATATATATGCATTTAATTTTTTTAGTTATGAATATATTGTTAATTAAATTAGGGTTCCTATTGTTACATTTTAATTTACTATTTTCTTTTAATTTAATGTTAATTAATTAGGATTCCATTAATTTACTGTTAATTAATTAGGGTTTTATTTTTTTAATTTACTGTTAATTAGAGAATACTGTCAAATAATTGTAACACATTTTTGTTGAAGAGTCCCTCAATTTTGTAAGACATAAATTGCTTCTTGCAATTGAGTATAAAATTAAAAGTCGGGTTTTTTGTACAGTAACAAAGATTTAAAACATGATATCTATTAACTTTTACCTGTCGTAAAATTAAGAGAAGATATTTTAGAAAATAATATGGCTGAATATTTCATGAAAAGTCAGATCAAAGACTAATAATAGCTCCTTATCATGGTCAATTGCATTAAAATACACGTCATTGTTTATCATTTGGGCTGCAATATATTATATATAGCTCCTTATCATGGTCAATTGCCTGCAATATACATATTTAATGAATGAATTATAAATATTTCTTTTGATAGCCGTGTTGGGAAATTTGATTGATCCTTCATCCTTGCTTAGTGCTACTTAACTCTCAAGTATACTCTGTAAAAAAGAAAACGAAGTTAGTGAGCAACAACAACTTAGTAATTAGTATAATTCGAAAAAAGAGCTTAAAATATTTAATTGTTAATCACTTAATTGTTACTTAAAAAGACCTTTGCGCCTCGATAACACTGTTTATTATTAATTAAATTAGGGGTCCATTTAATTAGAGTTTTTATTACATTTTAATTTACTTTTTTCTATTAATTTACTATTAATTAATTAGAGTTCCATTAATTTACTGTTAATTAATTAGAGCTCCATTTTTTAATTTACTATTAATTAGGATTTTAGTTACTGTTTTGCTATTGTTATAATTTTTTTAATTTACTATTATTGCTATTGTACTTCAGAGAAATGGAACAAGAAGGGAGTTTTAGTGATAGTGGAGTACAAGATGACATATGTCCGCTTTGAAAATATGTTACTAAAAACGACAGGAGGAAATTGGAGATGGAGATGTATATTGCAGAGAGGAGTTTATCGATTCACACTCAAGACTTAAAAATCACCTCTTTAGGAAAAGCATGACTAGAATTAAGATGTGTTCCAAGTCAACACCTGAAAACTTAAGAGAGTTTCAAAGGATGTTGGATCAAGCGAAGGTGTGGTTGAGGGCTTCTAGGGCTAAAACTTTATCTTTTCCTACATCTTCGACTGCAAGTACGACCAGTGTAAGTGCAAGTGCAAGCATGCCGAATCATGCAAGTGAATCTAAGAGGAGGGGGCCTAATACCGTGGAACAAGCATTCAACATGGGAGCAAAGGAGGAATT